TATTATTATTATTATTATTATTATTATTATTATTATTATTATTATTATTATTATTATTATTATTATTATTATTATTATTATTATTATTATTATTATTATTATTATTATTATTATTATTATTATTATTATTATTATTATTATTACACACTACACTACACTATATTACTATTATTAGTACTACACACTATTACTACTACTACTATTAGTAGTTTTTTAGAATAGAGTGAATTAGTGTTTAACCTGTTGTCTAGTTTTGTAAAATGGTTAGCCGAACCCAGTTCTGCTTTTCCCAAAATTGCTTTCTCTCTTGTGTAAAGTTCAAGGTTCAAAATAAATCCATAGTTGAAATAACAGCACCTTATCAGACTGATACATACCATTTGGTTTGTACTTACATTAAATGACATAAGACAATGATAATGTGCAGCATACTTATCTGTGTTTGAGTATGAACTTATTGGAACTGGTCCAAGATTTCAACTAATGTATTTATCTTTAAACGATCTTTCATTTAACAACACAATTACAGTGTTAGCTGTAAAATTATATCATTTTATTCAGTTTACTGATCAGTAATGAACCGGTAAAAACAATTGCATTCCGGAATTTCATCTTTTTGTCATTTTATTGGAAGAAGGGAAAAATTGGAATAAAAGCATCACGAAATCACTCAGGCAGTTGCATTTGAAATGATAGCTTCCATTAAGAGAAAAAAAATGGAAGGAATATGAATGACGGGGAAAGGGTTTGTTTGATAGATGGAATAAAACAATTTAGTGATTTAGAGAAAGAAGCATGAAACGAATTAGTAACCAAATAATGGCCTAAAATTAAGAAAGTGCTGAATATGAGCCAACATTACATTTATGCAACAATACAACTTCTTCATTCCATTCACAGTATACGTGAATTCTTCTCAGCATTTCTTAAAAATTCTTCTGATAATGGACAACTCTCTTCATATCATTCAAATTATCATCGTTCCCTTTTTTCTATTTCCTGAAGTTAAAAGGAAAAAAAGCGCCTACCGCCTATTTTTGTGTGACATAAGTTCATCAGCATTTTGTTATTTTTAAAAACCAAATGAATCGTTATCGTTAAGAAATGTGAACATTGCTGGAGGGAATAATTGACCTCAAAAGCGTCTTCATAGATATACGCACATACAAAACCGTACATTTTTCATATAATTTATTTTAAAATTTAAATTTCAATATTTATCTGAAGCAGATCGCATATACATATCCTCCTAAAATAGCTACACCATTATCAATACATCACCGCTTCTCCCACCTTTCGGTATTTCTTATTAGTATTGGGTTAATTATGCTATTCGGTGTAATTTATGCAGTTTTTCTTCTCAATGCATATCTCCTATAAATTGTTGAAAAAAAAACAATCCTCTAAATGAAATTTATTAAGTCAATATATTTTGAAATATACTAATGTGTCCTATAAATCATAACTGTGCGGAAATGTCGCCTACATGTGTTCAAATATAGGCGCAAATATCTTTTGTTGTTGGGGAGAAGGAAGAGAGAGAGAGAGAAAACAGCAAGTTTCTCGGTTATGTTATTACTTCCTTTTCTAACAATCATTTTAAACTATGCTTCCTGAATC